TATATATATATATATATATATATCTGTATCTAACAGAATATTTTTTTTATGCTGACTTATGAGTTCATTGAGCTCATCTTGTGCTGTTTGGTAAAGGCAGTATTTTGTTTTAGAGAAAAGTTGTTTGAAATTATGTGTGTGAATTTTTCGTTTGACTTCACAATGATGTAATAAGCACAAAGGTTTTTCTTGTTAGATGAAATTTTCTTCATTAGTCCAATGGATTAATTAGTTCATATATAGTTTTTGTTTAATACTGGGGTTAAATATATATAGATGACACTGGTAGATTAAAAAATGTGTGATAATGCCATAGCCAGTTCCAAGAAAATTACTTCATTGTGAAGTTTGTTGACAACTAAATTTAGAGTGCAATTAGGTTATGTATATATATTAGCAATGGCTTATTAACTTTCATATTAATAAACTTTTTTTCTTCATCTTGAAATTTCATGGGGTAATTAAATATGCATTATGTAATTCTTTAGACTACCAGACAACATAAGTTTAGATGAAGGAGCTGTAATAGAACCTCTTGCTTGTGCTGTTCATGGCTGTAAAAGAGCTGAAATCTCTGCCGGAGATAAAGTATTGATATGTGGAGTAGGTATGTGTGAAAAAGTTAATTTATATTAGTTTTTCAAACATGTTAATTTTTTTACAGATTTTTTTCCTTTTGTGTAGTTATTATGAATATCCCAAAAAATATTTGGATTCTAGCTAGTTTCAATGTGCCATAAAAAATAAAGAGAATCAATTTCATATGAAAATAATACTTTGCATTTTGAATTTTATTTATATCAATAATTTTTTTATAAAAAAAGATGTAAAAATTATTTAAAAATAAAAAAAACTTGGCAAAACAGAATGTCAGTAGTAAGATTCTGATTTGACACTTAAGAATTTCTAACATTTATTCTCCCAATTTGACCAAAAGGATAATATGTTCAAGTCTAAGTAAAATTATAACACTTCTTTTTTTCTCTTTTGGTGTCATGCTTGACTAAATATGTTCTATTTTGACTAAACTAACATGAAAAATAGAATATTTTTAATTTCATTAAGTTTAAATAATATCACTCTTAGAATGCTTCTTTTAAATTCTAATAATTGTTTGTTAAATGAAGTAATTTTAAAACTTAGTATCTAAGTACCATGCAAATATTTATCACTTATATTTGTTTTTTGTATTAAATTTAATTGACTCTAGTTTTTATGTGGAAGTTTTCAAACTTCAAGCTTACCTGATAAATAAATTAATAAAATTCAAAATTTTAAATTGTGTTCTCTGATGTTGTTTGTTTTTATTTTATGGTTTTTTTTAATATTTAAGAAAAAGATTGTGTAATATAATAAATACTAACTAATTTAACCGTAAGTATGTAACATTTTAAATGTAGTAATTCACTTTACTTTAGATAGTTGTCTACATATATATAGAGGCACACATGTAGAGGAATACTTATTGGGTGTGATTTTTCCAGTGAAAGCAAATACTTGTAATGAATATAAATTATATAATGGACTCCAAATTCTGATTTGCAGGAACAATTGGTTTATTGAGTATGTTAACAGCAAAACAAATGGGTGCTTCCAAGATATGTGTCACTGGTAAGTCACTTAATCTACATTAGATTGAGGTAATTTATTCAACACTGGTATATTCTTATCAGTGGTAACTTAATAATTAACACCAAATTTCTATGTTATTTGGGAAAACTGCTTTATTCTTAACTATTAATATTTCGTCTGATTTGAACATTTTGATCAAATAGGGCTCTTTAAACTGTATAACTTCTGGATGGATTCTCAATTTAAGTGTTATCAAATTGTTAATCATTCTTATAAGGTTTTAAAGAAACTGAATATTACAACAGCTTATTAGTATATGAAATATTAGTATACAGTCAAAAAATTTGTAATTTTAATTATTTAGATATTTCGAGTAGTCTCCTGGAAGCTGCTAAACATCTTGGAGCAGATCATGTTGCTTTGGTTGAGAGTCAAGATGCACATGTCATAATAACTAAGATTCATCAAGCTCTAGGTGGACCACCAGACATCACCTTAGAATGTAGTGGTACAGCAAGTGGTATCAGCATGTCAATTCCAGTATGAAAGTATTATATCTCAAAAACACCATTTGTCCAGCTTTTATGTATTATTTTCCTTTGTTCTTTTTGTCAGTTTTTCTGGTACATATATATATCTGTAACTCATTTTCATTCATTTATTTCAAGCAGTTTATTTCTGTTTCTTTAGTTCTCTGTATTTCTTTCATACTGTGGCATTTTCTTTTATCCTTCTGTTAAACTATGCAGATTAACATTTTAGGTTTGTAAAAAAATAAACAAAAAAAGGTAATATCACAACCCTTCTTAATGCTAAACAAAGGATATTCAAAAATAAAGATGATGTTGAAATGAAGTACCATTAGGACTAATACATGAAGTTCTCTTCTTACATACTTTGATACTTGTTTATATTAAATAAAATACAAAATATGGTTTCTATATTATTTTTCTGCCAGTTTTTAAGTGTTTGTGGTAACATGTCACATATGTTTATGTATTAGTAAACACATAATAGCTGTGTTTTTATGTGTTACAACAACCAAAATACTAAACAACTGTAAATTACTAATTATATTACAGTTATTGTGTTGTTTCCCTTATGTAATAAAAGAACACAAGTAAAAGAATCATTTAATTTTTGTACTTTAGCTATCAGCATTGATGTATGTTTTTTGTGTGTGTAGATATGTTATTGTTCATAGTTTATTGTTCACAGGCAACCAGATCTGGAGGAGTTGTTGTGTTAGTTGGTCTTGGGCCACACAATGTTACTTTGCCTATCATCGATGTAATTGTTCGTGAAGTTGATGTCAGAGGGAGCATTCGGTATGGAAAATGGTAAGTAGATGTTCTTAAAGAATTGAGTAGTATGTTTAATTAAGACTAGTCTTTAAGAAACAAAATTATATTTAATAAATCTTAATAATATTTATTTGAAATAAACAGTTCTGTCTTTCAAGGTAAACTTAAAGATGAATATTATTATGAAAAATTATAGCAAAAATTTCTTATGTGTATTTTTTTTTTAGTTACTCTATTGCATTGGATCTAATTGCTTCAGGCAAAGTGAATGTAAAGCCCTTGATTACCCATCATTTTAAGTTGGAAGATTCTGTGAAAGCATTTGAAACTTCAAGAAACGGAGACGGAGGAGCCATCAAAGTCTTGATCCATTGTAACCAAGAAGCTTCAATATAAAGCATATTCATGTTTGTTTTAAGAGAAGATTACCTAAATGTCAGTAGACTGAACAAATACATATATTAATTTTATCATTGAGTTGTGGGATTGACTGTCACATGATGGGATCCTCATGGCTGAAAAGGCAAGCATGTTCAGCAACAGAGATTTGAACCTGTGACCCACAGATTGCAAGTCAAGTTCCCTAACCACCAAGCTATGCCAGGCCTTAGTAAATTTTAGGATACGAAAAACATTCCAAATTCCTTAGAGTCCAAACTCCTATTTAACAAATGCACAAAGAAAAACTCAAACACTTATTATAAAATAGTCACAAGAATATAGTATGGCCAAAATCATAATAATTTTGTGAAAATTAGTTTACTGTTCTACTTTCCGATATACTTTGTTTAATTTACTAACCAAATTATGCATATAACTCTCTTCTCACCAAACTCATTTTTTTTGGTAAACGAAAAAAATTCATGATGCATGATATTCTATTAATTGTTCACATGTAACAGAGTTATACTCATTTAAGAGTATTTCATTCCTTATCACTAATTCTGAAAACAACAGACCAAAATATAATTATAACAAGGAGGTGAAAATTTTATATATATTTTAAGATGACTTATTGTTTTCAAAATGGCAAACTGTTTGTCTGATGTATATTAGAAAAGAATTATTTAGTATCAATAATCCACCAATTCTTCAAATACCTATATTAATGTAGGTTACTTGTGGCAAATAAATTACATCACAAACAATTATTATGAAATTCTAGGGCTACATATGATATAAAAATTAGCAAAATTCTTAAAAAGAGAAATGGTTATATATTGACCCCTATTTTCCTTGAACAATTTTCTTATAGCAAAGTTTTACAACATCTGGGAGTCTATTGCAGCATTTAACACAACGTTTACTGTTTCAGATTAGTTAATTTTTATTTATTTTTTGTGAGTCTCAAGGCTGCTTACACCACTGGGGTACTTTAGATTCTCAAGCAGATTTACCTGGAGGCACCCATCTCCTCTTCAGGTAGCCATCCCTAATTTAGCAGTGAAAGACTAGAGGCAGCTAGTCAACATCACCCACTACCATATTTTGGGCTACTCTCAAAGAATTGTTAAATAAAGTTCACAAGTAACAACAAACATTTATAAAATGAACTTTTTTTTTACCATTTACTAATGGTTCTATGTGTTTTGTTAGTTGTAACATATTTGTTGCTTTAAAAAACAAACTGGATGTAAATTTTACCTAAAATATGTAATACACCAGATTTTTCAATGAATAATAAAAACATTCACTTTATTTCTTTGACCATTATAAACAAGTTAACCAAATATATTTTATTGACAGAGAAATACAAAAATAAGTGATTTTGAGATAATTATTTAAAAAGCAGGATTATGATGTAAGTGTCAATCTGCTCAACACCATACAGCAATTACAAGAGTAACTTTGTCCAATACAGAAGATTACTTTTATTGAAAAAATGTTAACATAATATTTAATAAACACACTTTGCATGTCTTTGAATAATAAGACATTTTACTCTATCAAACATAATTTCAGCAATATAATAAAATAGTGGCTGACATATTTCTTTTTCAGTATACTTAATTACTTTCAAATTATATATTTTAACAAAATATTTTCTTTCAGATTGTCTTTAAAATAAAATTGAAAATACTACATCTTAAAATATATACTTTGTCTAACTCACCATAATTACTAAATCAAACAAATTAAAAGCCATGATGGAAATGAAATGATGTACAAACTAATAAACAATCTGTAAAATTACATATATAAAAACTGTCTTTCATTTAAGGGAAATAACAATACCTTTATTCATTTCCTTCATGATGTTAGAAAAACACGTAGGTTCAAGAAGTCTTGATAGAATTAGAAATGAATAAAAATCATATAACCCGAGTGCTTTGAAAAGTGGACCTTTCTTCTTCAGGACTCCCTGCAGAAGAAAGTTCCACCTTTCGAAAGCACTCTGGTTATAGGGTTTTTATTCATTTCCTAACATCTGCCATCATATTCAGATTTAAACTATCAACCAGCATTAAATTTTAAAAAAATCATGGGTTGATTCCCCTCAGTGGACACTGCAGTTAGACTGATGGGCTTTGCTATAAGAAAACACACACACACACAGAGATTTAAAATATAGGCAACTTTATATTTTCTTGTCCATTTTCCATAATTATTTTTAAAATTTGGCATTTTATATTTTCATTTTAGTTTCCATATAGTATCAATACTGACGTATAGAATTATCGATTTTCGAGTTACATTGGTCAATATATTAATTATGTATTATTATACTTGTAAAAGTGTAATACAACTTCTGACACAAGATTGTATATTAAAAAACTTCTGAGTTAAAGAATTATATGTACTCCCATAAATAATAATTAGTAATTAATTATTGACTATCCAACTGCCTGGTAAATTACCAATCTCTAATGATAAAAATATTTGTACCTTTATTGTATATATCTTGTATCATATGGAATAGACTACTCTAAAATAACGAATACTCCTCAAAACGATTACTATAAAGTTATTGATTTAATATAAACTATTTATCTAAATAGTCAAATGTCTAAATTAATTTGTTTCCATGTCCAAAATGTTTATTTTTCATAAATTCCACAAGCACCGCATTTTTCGGAATATAAGACGCACCCTTATTTTGAAGACAAAGTTTTTGGGGGAAAAAAGCTACAATCGCATTTGA